AGCTTCATAAAGCCAGGTGGTTTAATTCATTTTTAACCGACAAGGGAGGTTCTTTTTTTAACTGGGAGTATTTGAGTTTTAATGAGCAGGTGTTCTGATATTACCTTTTTAATTGGACTGAGATGAGCAAAACACCTGCCAGAAGCAAAGGTTTATGGGAACCTCTCTACTTCAAAGGGATTAATGAGAAAAGCCTAAAATTGGGGTAAAACAGAGGACAGTTATATATTGTAAGAGAAAAACCCTCTCTCCTGATGTATGTGGCTAATAAACAGGGGTACCATGTGCCAATACATAAAAACCAAATAAAACAGCTCAATGTTGTTACTATTGAATTAAGACAAGATGGTGTCCAGGCTGAGTGGGCTAAAACAATCCAACTAATAAACAGGGGTACCATGTGCCAATACAGAAAAACCAAATAAAACAGCTCAATGTTGTTACTATTGAATTAAGACAAGATGGTGTCCAGGCTGAGTGGGCTAAAACAATCCAAACCCAGAACCGAAGGCATGCAAGGGGCCTTGAGTTCACTCACTTTTTCAACTGTGGCGGGGAGGTCATGGCGGAGCGCCAAGACTTTATCTGCGAAATAGCTCGCAAATGCCTCACAGCCAATTATTAAAATATTCTGATGGACCAAAACAAAACCTGATATATAGATTCAGTGCATCTACAAGAGCTTTATGCCATAGGTTATTTTAAAACATTAAAAGACTTCATGTAAAGAGTTTAATTCTTTAGAATGTCATTGTAATGATATATGCTTTCATATTTTGTATTCCTTTTAATGAAAATAAGTTTATAAAATGCTTTAAGAATATTGTTATACTTTTATATGCATGTATTAATGTAAAAGAACCATTTTTTTATAATGAAAGCATCTAAATTTGTACTAAAAATGAACTCAGCCTGAGAGTTCATTCAAAGGTGAAAGGAGTTTGGGAAGGCAGCCAAAAGAAATATAAATCAGTATAATGAGCAGTGCACCTGCATTGTAGGAGCTGAGATGCAGCCAAGTAACAACCTGTGTGTCAAATATGTGATTGATGACTGACCAGACAAAGAAAATTGAACTGAGCATGTCTAAATGATGTCAGTGATGAAGAGTCTGGGAAAGCAGCCAAAAGAAATATAAATCAGTATAATGAGCAGTGCACCTGCATTGTAGGAGCTGAGATGCAGCCAAGTAACATCCTGTGTGTCAAATATGTGATTGATGACTGACCAGACAAAGAAAATTGAACTGAGCATGTCTAAATGATGTCAGTGATGACGTAAAGTGAGGAGGAGCAAGAAGAATATATAAGCAAGCTCCTG